CTCCTATTCTACAGAAGACATGTTCAGAGAGTTCAATTCCATACACGAACTCTTTACGGTGTCTTCTTCTATGGAAAACCTCTAAAGAAAACCTGGAGAGGTATTCTGCAGAATATCTGTAATTTATAGAAAAAGACTTCAGGATTTTCCTGTCTATAGGAGAGCTTTTTAAGGCCTTCCCTTCTATAGAGAACCCAAATAGGGCCTTCTCATCTATAGAAAACCCCGTTGAGGCTCTTCTTTTCTATGAAAACACCTTGAGCGTTCTCGCTTCTATGGAAACCCTCTAAAGAAAACCTGGAGAGGTATTATGCAGAATATCTGTAATTTATAAAAGAAGACTTCAAGGTTTTCTGTCTATAGGAGATCTTTTTAAGGTCTTCCCTTCTATAGAGAACCCAAATAGGGCCTTCTCATCTATAGCAAACCTCCTTGAGGCTCTTCTTTTCTATGGAAACCCCTTGAGCGTTCTCGCTTCCCTACAATATCTCATGAGGGCCCGTTTAATAGAAAATAGTATTCCGGGAGACATCTTCAGGGTCTTCTACTACAGAAAGACCCTCAATTCTTTAGAAAACCTATTCAGTGTCTTGAATTCTACTCTGTTGGAGACCGTTTTTTATTCTATGGAAGACGTCTGTCTTCTAGCCTATGGAAGAGGATCGTCTTATAGTCTATGGAAGAGGACTGTCTTCTAGTCTATGGAAGACGACCGTCTTCTAGTCTATGGAAAAAGACCGTTTTCTAGTCTATGGAAGAGGACCGTCTACTAGTCTATGGAAGATGACCGTCTTCTAGTCTATGGAAGACGACTGTCTTCTAATCTATGGAAGATGATCGTCTTTTAGCTTATGGAAGATGATCGTCTTCTAGTCTATGGAAGACGACTGCCTTCTAGTCTATTGAAGACGACCGTCTTCTAGTCTATGAAAGACAACCGTCTTCTAGACTATGGAAGACGACCGTCTTCGAATCTATGGAAGAGGACCGTCTTTTAGTCTATGGAAGACGACCGTTTTCTAGTCTATGGAAGACGACCGTCTTCTAGTCTATGGAAGACGACCCTCTTCTAGCCTATGTAAGACGACCGTCTTCTAGTCTATGTAAGACGACCGTCTTCTAGTCTATGAAAGACGACCGTCTTCTAGTCTATGGAAGACGACCATCTTCTAGCCTATGTAAGACGACCGTCTTCTAGTCTATGAAAGACGACCGTTTTCTAGTCTATGGAAGACGACCATCTTCTAGTCTATGGAAGACGACCCTCTTCTAGCCTATGTAAGACGACCGTCTTCTAGTCTATGAAAGACGACCGTCTTCTAGCCTATGAAAGACGACCGTCTTCTAGCCTATGAAAGACGACCGTCTTCTAGCCTATGAAAGACGACCGTCTTCTAGCCTATGAAAGACGACCGTCTTCTAGCCTATGGAAGAGGACCGTTTTCTAGTCTATGGAAGACGACCTCTTTTAGCCTATGGAACACGACCGCCTTCTAGTCTATGGAAGATGACCGTCTTCTAGTCTATGGAAGTGGACCGTCTTTTAGTCTATGGAAGACGACTGCCTTCTAGTCTATGTGGAAGACGACAGTCTTTTAGTCTATAGAACACGACCGCCTTCTAGCCTACGGAAGGCGGCCGTCTTCTAGTCAATGGAAGACGACCGTCTTCTAGTCTATGGAAGACGACCGTATTTTAGTCTGTTCAACACGACCGCCTTCTAGTCTATGGAAGAAGACCGCCTTCTAGTCTATGGAAGAGGACCGTCTTCTAGTCTATGGAAGAGGACCGTCTTCTAGTCTATGGAAGAGGACCGTCTTCTAGTCTATAGAAGGCGACCATCTTCTTGTCTATGGAAGACGACTGCCTTCTAGTCTATCAATCGATTCAGATATAGCTATAGTTCCTATATATAGGTTTCATCCGATTTGGTGTTTAAGTCCCCAAAATTCGTAATATGCACCCCACAAAAATGATGTTTCGGATCAGATGTCAGATGCAGCCCAGAAATACCTCTGCCAAATTTTATCAAGATCGGTTCAGATTTGGATATAGTTCCCAAATATATCTTCAACCGATTTCGGGTTTATTGTTCACTAAATGGCAAATAACAGTCCAAATGACGTGAATTTTGGTACATCCGACTGAATTCATCCTAGAAACCAGTACTGCAAATTTGGTGAAAATCGGTGCAGATATAGCTATAGCTCCCGTATATAGGTTTCATCCGATTTGGTGTTTAAGTCCCCCACATTCGTAATATGCACTCCCAAAAGAATAGTGTTTGGGATCAGATATCAGATGCAGCCCAGAAATATCTCCGCCAAATTTTATCAGGATCGGTTCAGATTTTGATATAGCTCCCATATATATATTCAACCGATTTCGGGTTAATTGTGCACCAAATGGCCAATATCAGTCCAAATGACCTGAATTTTTCAAAAATTCAGTCTAGAAACAAGCAAATCAAATTTGATAAGAAAAAACCGGTTCAGATATAGCTATAGACCTCATATATATGTTTCATCCGATTTGGTGTTTAAGTCCGCACACATCCGTAATATGCTTTCGACAACAATGATATTTGGTACCATATAGCTTTTAGAGCTGATTCATCCCATCTCAATACTTTTATCAACACAAGACCTGGTATCAAGAACGGATAGAACGGACCACTGCTTCTGGTACCTCGCCCACAACGGTTAAAAATTGTAAATAACCATAACGCTCATAAAAGGCGAAATGATCCTTTTCAAATGTGGCACATCCTAATATTTCCACCAACACAAGATCTGGTAAGAAGATGGAATGCATCGGTTTTTTCCTTCTGGTACCTCCCCCACAAGGGGTCAACATTTTGAATAATCTTATCTTCTATAAAATGTGATATATGGGTCCGATTTTCTTCAAATTTTGCATATCTCAATATTTTTACCAACACAAAAGCTGGTATAAAGATGTGATATTATGGACCACACCTTCTGGTACCTCCCACACAACGGGTCAAATTTTTAAATAATTATTATATCAAGTTTCACACGCTTTAATATTTCTACCCTTTTTAGTAGAAATATTGAAATATTGTCTGGTGTGAAGGTGGTAGATGTCGGCCCACCCCTTCTGATAACTCCTCCACAAAGGGTTACAATTTTCAGAATTTATGTATGCGAAAAAGTCAGCAATTCTTTTCGAACTTTGTATATCAAAAGATCTCTCTCAACCAGGATCCACTCCTGGTGGCACCTTCCCCAAAAAAGTTGAACATTTTTATTATCATTTATTCGCATAAAATAGGAAAAAAATGTTCAGTATTAGATACTGAAAAAGATACCAAAAACAAGTAAAAAAGTATCGGTCGGTTTTTCCGACAGATTTATACCCTCAGCCAATGTTCGATTAATTGAAACTATTTAGACTTCTGTTATGATTATTCAAATTTTTAACCCCTTATGCCGAAGTAATGGGCCAATTCGTATCGGACCTAAATAAATATGATATAAATATTGCGACGTGCCAGGTTGGATTGTGTTGTGTTGATGGAAATATTGGGATGTACCAAATCTTGAATGGAATCGGATGCCAATATCGCTTTTAATGAGCTTCATGGATATTCAAAATCTTCACAACGGATCTTTAGTTAATGGAAATAATGGGATGTGTGAAATATAAAGAGAACCTGATGCTTTTTTCGGATTTTATAAATGTTTTGGTTATTCAAAATTCTGACCCTTTGTGGGGGAGGTACCAGAAGGAATGGTCCGATCTCTACCGTTTTTTTAATAGGTCCTGCGCCGATAGAAATATTCAGATGTGCCAAGTCTAAATGGAATCCGATGTTAATTTCGCGTTTTATGAGCTTAATGGATATTCAAAATTTCGATTCGATTCAGAAGGAGTGGACCGATACATTCCATCTTAACACCAGGCCTTGGATTAATATAAATATTATTATGTGTGAATTTTGAAGAAGGTCTCTTACATCACATTTTATAAGAGTTGTAATTATTCAAAATTTTGACCATTTGTGCGGGAGGTGCTTGATGGAGTGCACCGATAATGTCCATTTTCACACGTGACCTAGCACTGACGCAAATATTAGGATATGCAATGTTGGGGCAAAATCGGATTATCGTTGCTCTTTCTGTACAGAAAATATAATTTTTGAAAATTTCGACCTTTTGTGAGGGAGATACCAGAAGAAGTGGACCGATATATTTCATCTCAACGCCAGACCTTGGGTTTAAATAAATATTGGGATGTGTGAAATTTGAAGACAATCGAACTCTCATATCACATTTTATAAGAGTTGTAATTATTCCAAATATTGACCCTTTGTGGGGGACATTGTCCATTTTCATACCTGACCTAGCTTTAAAGCAAATATTAGGATTTGCAAAGTTGGAGCAAAATCGGCTTATCATTTTTCTGTCTGTGCAAAAACTAAATTTTTTAATAATTTCGATATTTTGTCGGGGAAGTGCCAGAATGAGTGGACCGAGATTGCCCATATCCGAACTCGATCTAAGTTTGACAAAAATATTACGACGTACCAAGTTTGGACCAAATCGGATATTCCCTTCGAGAGTTATCGTGCTCACCAGCCAGCCAGACAGATGGAGGGACATCGCTAGATCGACTCCCAATGTTCTGAAACGGATTTTATCCAAATACCTATGGTCTTTAACCGTTATTTCGACTAGGCACGTTTTGACCGTATCAAATGATATATACCCTCTGTTGCCATATGGCTGAGGGTATAATTATCACCTATTTCAAAGAAAACTTCTAAAGGATCTTAGACTCTTCTTGAATTTTATTCTATTCTTTGGTAATCATTTTAAAATCATTCTATTACGATGGTTTACACCTCCACCTATTTTCCCCCTTCATATAAAATATCGAATTAAAAACTAGCATTACATTTTAAATGATGACGTCATTTTTTTTCAAATAATGAAATTAATTGCTCTTCAACTTCATAGTTTTCTTCATCATTTCAGGAGGCCAATGACCATTGTACACCGTCACCCTGTTTGGAGGGCCGCTGCTTGAACACACCAGGTAGCTACTATTGTCACTGCCCACCGGGAAGAGTGGGCAAGCACTGTGAACAGATACGACCGCTCTGCAATCAGCCACATTGTAATGGTAAGTATTTTGTCCCCCATCGCCACAACTACCCTTTCCCCTTAAAAATTGAGTACATATGATTAATATTTCAAGAAAATAATGAGCAGAGGAAGAAGAAGCACAAATAAATTTTAAAAATGTTTTTTTAAAAAAAAAATCGTTATTTGTATTTGTGCAATTTCCAGATGGATGTTTCGCCAATGCCACCATCATTGATTCATCAAAAAGTTTGCCCTGTTCGGGACATGGCACATGCGAAATGGTTGATGTGGGCACCTTTTGTAAATGTCATGCTGGCTATACGGGAACGTTTTGTGAGCACAGTAAGTTTTCACATTGTTGTTGTTGTTATTTTTATTTTTCGAAGTTTGAAGTGTGAGAATTTTGGTTTTTTTTGGTTAAATCTGTTGGACATTGTTGTTTAACAAAACGGAGTTTTTTTGTTCTTCTTTTGGTTTTCATTTTGAATTAGACTGCCGGTGATTAGTCTCTGGCACTGGTGAAGGCCTTCTTTTGCAAAAAAAGCAAAATTAATCACTTAATCATAAAATTAAGAAACATTTGCCGTAAAAAAAAGATATTTAACGCTTGATTAAAATTAATAACCCATTTCAAGTTGCTGCTACATTGGTGGCGATGACGGCGGCAATAAGAGCTTCATGTTTAAAATTCTGAAGAATTGTTTTGTGGTGTGAGAGGCCTTGTATTTTGCCAATCAACTGGAAAATTGTTTATGTTAAAGCATTGAAATTAATCTTCTCCCTTTTTCATCCAATGGTGTTGAATAAAGTATTGAGTAACAGTTTAGAGTGAGGAAACACAAAATATTGAATATTCTATTACACGTGTGATGTTTGGCGCCCAATAGGTGCTTGTGTCTTAAGTCTTTTGTATTTCATCACCGTTTTTGCCTTTAATCTTAACCGCTTTTTTGCACAGGATTAAAAAGAAAAGGGATTAAAAGTGTGACATTAATTGTTAGGAACATTTGAGAATAAAATTTTGTTTTTTTATACCCTACACCACAAGGTGGTCAGGGTATTATGTCTTTGTGCATTTGTTTGTAAGAAACAAAAGGACCCATAGTTCCGTCCGTCCGTCTCTCCATGTATTCTTGTGAACAAAATGCAGATCGCATTTATTATCCGATTGAGATGAAATTTTCCAAACAACATTTGTTTGACCCAAGGACGAACCCTATCGAAATTGGAAATAATCGGTCAAAATTTAGATATAGCTCCCATATATATTTTCGTCCAATTTGCTTTATATTGTGCACAAAACCTTTAATAATAGCCCAAAAAAGTATGGAATTTTGCACGTACGACCAAATTGGACCTGAAAATAAGTATGCCAAATTTGATAGAAATCTGTTCAGATATAGCTATAGCTCCCATAGATATTGTTCATCCGATTTGTTATTTTTGTCCTCCGCAGCCGTAATATGCACTCTGTAACAACAATATTTGGGGAAATGTATCAAATACAGCTCAGAAATACCTTTGTTAAATTTTATCGAGATCGGTTCAGATTTGGATATAGCTCCCATATATATCTTCGTCCGATTTACCCTTTATTGTGCACCAAACGTCTAATATTTGCTCAAATGGGATGGAGTTTGGCACATACGTCCGAATTGAGTCTAGAAAGTAGTATGACAATTTCGGTGAAGATCGGTTCAGATATAGCTATAGCTCCCATAATTTGGTATTGGGCGAAGAGATAGTACTTGAAATCTGAAATTTGGTATTAGGGCCGCTGTTCGTGTTTAGCCTGGACATACAGGGGTGTTTTCGGAAATGTGTACTATATTTGAACGAAAATGTAGCAAATGGTAGTATATTTGGTATTGGGTAAAGGGATAGAGCTATAATGCTCAAATTTGTTATTTAGATTACTGATGGCATCTGTGTTTGGGATTTGGCATTGGTTTGGAACTGTGTCCTATATTTGTACGAAAAGTACTAAATGCTACTAAATTTGAAATTGGATGAATGAATTGGGCTGGATTCCCCAATTTTGATATTGAAATCACTGTTGGTGTCTATGGTTTTGACTTTTCGTACAATTATGTTTGGAAATGGATACCATAATTGTACGAAAAGTACCAAACCATCTCCATATCTTAACCTATCCTAAAAGTACTTAATGGTACTAAATATGATACTGGGTGGAGGGATAGAGATAAAATTCAGAAATTTGATATTCAAATAAATGTTGGTATTTGAGGTTAAGATATGGGGGGTCGTTTGGAAATGTGTCCCATATCTGCACGAAAAGTATTAAATGGTACTAAATTTGATATTGGGTGAAATAGTAGAGCTAAAATCCTGAAATTTCATATCGGGGCCCTTTTTGGTGTCTGTGTCTAAGACATGAAGGTGGTTTGGGAAGGTGTACTATAATTGTACGAAAAGTACCAAATGGTACTAAATATGGTATTAGGTGAAGGGATAGGGCTGGAATCCCGAAATTTGATATTGAGGTCTCTGTTTATATATGGAATTGGAATATGGGGGTTGTTTTGGAAATGTGTGTGGTACACTTTGTACGAAAAGTATTAAGTGCTGCTAAATTTGGTAATGGGGAAATTATATAGCTGAAATCCGGAAAATTTATATTGAGGTCTCTGTAGGCATCTGCGATTGATATATGACATGACGAATTAGAGCTGAAATTTAATATAGATGTCACGGTTGGTGTCTGGGTTAATTGTACGAAAAGTATTAAAAGGTACTAAATTTGGTAATAGGGAAATTACATAGCTGAAATCCGGAAAATTTATATTGAGGTCTCTGTAGGTATTTGCGATTGATATATGACATTGGGTGACGGATTAGAGCTGTAATTTGATGTAGATGTCACGGTTGGTGTCCGGGTTAAGATATGTACTTTAATTGTACGAAAAGTACTAAATAGTACCTAATTTGGTATTCGCAATTTCGTATAAGGATGATGTTTATGTGAAGTCTGGTCATATGGGGGTGTATTTTTAAAGGCGTCCTTTATTTGTACGAAAAGTACTAAATGGTACTATAGTCGGTATTGAGTGAAGGAAAAAGAGATAAAATTCTGAAATTTGATATTTAAATAACTGTTGGTATCACTGGTTGACATTTGGAGGTGTTTTTTTTTTTTTTTTTTTTTTAATGAGTCCTATATTGCATTGGACGAAGGGTTAGAGCAGAAATTCGATATTTAGGTCTCTCTTGGTGGCTAGAGTTAAGAAATGGAGGTAGTTTCGGAAATGAGTAATATAATTGTACTAAATTTGGTAATAGGGGAAATTACATAGATTAAATCCCGAAATGTGACACTAAAGTATCTGAGGTGTATATTTGGAGATGGAGATGGAAATGCGTCTTAAATATGTACAAAAATAAAAAAAAATTGTTGTTGGGTGAAGGAATAGAACTATAATCCTGAAATTTTATAGATATAAACTGAACAAATTTTTAATTTTAGGTACTAACAATTATAAAAGCTGTAAGTTCGGCCGGGCCGAACTTTGAATACCTCCACCATTTAGTAAAAATTTAAAAATTTTCAAAAAAAACAAAATCCTTTTAAAAAAATTATGTTAAAATCTTAAAAATAGGGGTCTATACGACGACATGGACCTGCATAGCTAACTCTTGTCACAAGCTATTACAATATTCAAATGCGATACTTGAAAAAAATATGTTTATAATGTAGCTAAAATCATCAAAATACCGAATATAAGGAGGTACCATGGGGGATATAAAACGTGGACCTGCACAGACAATTTTCTGTCTTAGGCTGTAGCACCCATTACGTACATCGAATACCAAATTTGAAACAATTCCGGTAAATAATGTCGTTAAAATCATCAAAATACCGAATATCGGGGGTTCCGTTATATGGGGGCTATACGAAGACGTGGACCTGCACAGACAATTTTCTGTCATAGGCTGTAGTATTCATTATGAAATTCAAATACCAAATTTGAAATAGCTCCGGTAAATAATGTCGCTAAAATCATTAAAATACCGAATATCAGGAGGTACCGTTATATGGGGGCTACACCTAAACGTGGACCTACATCGCCCATTTTCAATACCGAAAGTCCTGCAGACATAATATACATTTGAGTAAAATTTTATCAATATATTTCATTTCGTTCGAAGCTAGAGGGATTTCCAAGAACATATATATACTTTGTGGGATTTAAAATGTATATTTCGAGGTGTTACAAACGGAATGACAAACATAATATGCCCTCCATACTATGGTGGAGGGTATACAAAGTTGAAAACTTAGTACAAAATGATCTCTCCCCAAATCCTTCCTTTCTGTTTTCTTCCCCCTCCCATTTTAAACTCCACCTCCAGTAAACTGACAATATTCCATTTTGCCCCAATACTAATTAAGGTGCTATCTTTAAATCTCCCAAGAACGAGAGAAAAAATTATTACATTTAGCTTAGTCTGCAATTCATTTATTTTTATGCTGTACCAGCATCTACTACTTGTGATTTCTGCTACTTATGCTTCTTGTTCTTCTTCTCCTTCCATTTTCTAGATCTTAATGAATGTTCGCCAAATCCCTGCCGCAATGGTGGTATATGTCTAGATGGTGATGGTGATTTTACATGTGAATGCCCTTCTGGCTGGACAGGTAAGTAGCTGAGCGAAAGGCCTACAAAACTACTACTACATAGGCTTTTAAGTGCAGACAAATTCCAAAAAAAAAAAATACGAACAGGAGAAAAAAACCGCATAAATGTTAAGCGCTTAACAAAACAATGCTAAAGAAACGCTTTGGAAAAACTGGAATAAAAGAACCTTTAAATTCCTTTAAACCAACAGAACATGGACGTAGACCAGACAGACAGACAGTATGTTCTTTCACCTTGTGATGCCCGACGATGCTGGACATCGTTTACAACAAGTAACATTATAAAGCATAATCTGCAACAAGTGTATAATAAACTCTTGGTCCACATGAAGAATATCAACAGACAGAAATACAAAAAATATGAAGCGCAGGCAGTTTAAGGCGAAGCGAACAACAAAAAACCGACTCATAATGAAAACTGTTGTAGACGAACAAGTGCTTGTTGCCAGTTACATGAACAGCAACAACACACCAAACTCCAACACCAAGCAACAACAGCAAACTTCCTGCTGCCAGCATCTCATTGAACAGTATTAAAGAGAGAAAGATAGACGGACAGACAGACAATGAAAAAAAAAACCAGCCCAGTAACATTACAAACTATCCATTGGCCAAACATTAATCATAAGTCGGGTTAACATCATCCGAACATTAAAGTTCCCTCGCCAGCGAACAAAGCCAGGCTGAAAACAAAAAATGATTTCGAAAACTAGAATCCTGGTTTAACATGCTTTGTTAATTTAGAAAATTTAAAGAACTTGGCTGTTTTGCTGCCAACTTCTCGCTGGAAAAAAGGGGTGCACTTAGTCTCTGTAGTTGGTTTTAGCTGACTTGTCTAGTTTTTTTTTTCTCCTCCCTTTGACTAGCATACATTAGCTTTAGATTCGCTTGAATAAACAATTTTAATTAATATGTGCTAAAAGGATAAAACTTAGGGCCGCTAAAAATATACAACACATTAAGATCGTGATGATAAGACTCACTCAATCGCTCGCTCGCTCACAATGGAAAGTGAAAGATCGGGCGTAGCACAAAAACTTTGCTAAAGATGTTATATGCAACTGAAAATTGGTTGTGGCATCTTCGAAGATTTAGGAAATCAGTTTTTCTTCATTACCTCCTTCATTGAATTCTGACAAAAATCCTCACAAAGAAAATGGAAAATATTAAACTATTTATACCCTACAACACTATGTGTTGGGGGTATTATAAGTTTGATTGGGCCAGAATTTATGTAACACCTCGAAATATTGGTTTCCCATATAGGAATGTATATATGGATCTTCCTAGCTCGCCGAGCTGAGTCGATCTAGCTATGTATGTCCGTCCGTCCGTCTGTCCGTCTGTCCATGTTAATTTGTAATCACGCTACAGGTCGCAATTATGGCCCGATCCTTACGAAATTTTGCACGAAGGTGGGGTTAGGGTCAGAATAGAAGCCTATTTCTTTTGGAGATGATCGCCAAATGTTTAGGGGTTGAAATGGACCAAATACTAAAAAAATGTCGGATTTTGAAGTAGCTATACAGGTCGCAATTGTAGACCAATCGACGCGGAATTTCGCATGTAGCTAGAGTTTAGGGCGGGGAAGAAGCCTACCAATTTGGGTGGTCATCGGATAATATTTAGCGGGTAAAATAGACCATATCTTTTTTGTTGAACAAATTCAAAATTTTTCATTAAACCGTGAATTTTTTAAATCCCGGCGAAATCACAAAGTCATGACAAGGTTACTTCTGACCTTTACATTGATGTTAACATCCAACAAATCGGATATATAGCAAAATATGTGCGATATATATGTCTATCAAAGAAGATATGCTTCAAAGATCTCTTATATGTCGAGAACGGCTGAACTGATTTCGACATTTCTCATTAATTCAGAATGGCCTCTTGGCAGGAAAGAAAAAACGTCTAAAAAAATCGCATAAAAATATCTCTCTAAAGATGAAAATATTGTTTTTGTAAAATTTTCTCATATTTTTTCAATTTTGTCACATTTTTGGCATATTTTCATTTTGAATTAAACATTTGGTAATATTTCTACAGCTAACAAAACTAAGTTGTTAGGATATCAGGATATCATATACAGATCGCATTTATGGCCCGATCCTTACGAAATTTTGCATGGGGATAATATGAGGGTCAGAATAGATGCCTGCTCTTTTTGGAGATGATCGCTATATATTTAGGGGTTGAAATGGACCAAAAAACTGCAAAATTGTCAGCAGGTCGTAATTATCGCCCGATCCTCATGCACATTTGAATGGGGGTTACCGCACATTGCAAAAGCCAAGCAGTTTCGGATGGCCATCCAAAAATATTCAATGTGCGAAATAGTTTGCCAACTTTTGTAGACTAAATACGAAAATATCCATTCCAGCGACTTTTTGGAGAATTCACAAATACAGAAAAGGCGCACTTCTGACTATTTCGTTAACGCTGATTACGTTGAAGAATATAGTCAAATGTCTGTATCTCATATAGATGCGTTTCAGTCAAAAACCAATAATAAATGTTAATCTTTTGCCACTTCTGAGAGATTATGGGTCTTTGGGAAATACGAAACCTGATGTTTTCTTTTATTATTTGTCACAATATCTTGTGCAATTCTTTCGAGTATCTCGCCTATATAAACTGTATCGTTTATTATAGTGTTGTAGGGTATTCAACGGTCGGCCCCGCTCGACTGTAGCCCTTGCTTACTTGTTTGAAAATTGTTCCGTCTAAAGAAGAAACTTGAAATACTAAATTAAAATCAAAATCAATGGAATTTTCCCACAATTTCAAATTTTGAAATTTCAATTTTTCCAACCATTACCTGGAAAATCCAGGCTGACAAATACCAATTTTTAGACAAATCCGTGAAAAAATGTGGCAAAATCACCAAATTACCGAAATCATCAAATTACCTCCACCTTTCCAAGGTGGTGGGTATAAAAACTGAAACAAAGTCAAACGCCATAATTTGTACATGTTTTTTTTAATTTTATTTAACGAAAGCCAGAAATGTCGGAAATAGCATTAAATTTTATAATTAGTTTAGATTTATTCGAATTGCTCAACTTTGGAACGAATTATTGTCTTCAAACGGTCAATGAAACCGTCACACGCTGACCGAATGTTGCTCTGCTGTATTTTGGCCCATTCCCGGCGAAGCGCTTGCTTAAGGTGATCGACACTTTGATATTTTTTAGTGCCAACCTTGCTTTCCAAATACTCCAGACCCAATAGTCCAACGGATTGGTATTCGGAGGTTTTGGTGGGCATTGTACGCTGGAAATTAAGCGAGGAACCACATTTTGTAACCATTCTTGGGTGGCGCGACTGCTGGACAACGAATGTTTTCTCATCGGAGACGGAGAAAACCAAATTCGGCATTTCATCACTTTCGGCCTATTTTCTTTCTGTTGCGGTGTAAGTTCTTGCACTTTTTGGGAAACTCAATGGTTTTACGCCGAGCTCATTTTTCAATATTTGCGATATGTTCAGCTCACGAGCCATTTTTCGGTCACTACGATGCAGGTTTCGATCAAGTCGCTTCTTTACTTTTCGAACCATTTCTGCTAATGTTGCCGTTTTCTTCTGTCCACTTCCTTGACGTCGGGCTACGCTACCAGTATCAAGGTAATGAGCGATGGTACGAGACACAAAAGATTTATTCACATTTAAATGCTGGATAGCCACTTGTGGTTTTGCAGTCAGGATTCCAGCTTCTTCCGTTCCTCCAAAATCAAATTGTACCAAATATAGTACGTTTAGTACTTTTCGTGTACATGAGTACACACTTCGAAAAGTACCTCTCTGCATCGACCCCACTCCTCAACCTTGATTCTAATTCCAAATTTCAAATTTTTATCTCTGACGGTTCACATGATACGAAATGTGGTACCAAATGTGGTACATTTTAGTATTTTTCGTAGATTTTACGAATGAGAATTTCCAAAAATCCTTTGCTACATCCATCATACACTCCATCAGTGACTATCATTCCAAATTTAAGAATTCTAGTTCCACTGTTTCGTCAAATACAAAGGATACCATATTTAGTACCTTTTAGTACTTTTCGTACAAATTACTAATTTTCAAAAAACCCAGCCTCTAAGAATTGTAGCTCCACTGGTTCGTCAAATTTAGTACTTTTCGTACGGACACCTTCGGTCCAAAAGTGACTCTCGCCCAAATTTTCAAAATTCTATCTTCGAATTCACACTTCCAAAACTACCTCCTTGCGCCGGCACTATTATTTTACCTTAATTCCTATTGAAAATTTACCATATTTAGTACCTTTTAGTACTTTTCGTACGAATTACTAATTTCCAAAAAATCCAGCCTTATCGGACACCTTCGGACCAGGAGCGACTCTCGTCCAAATTTTCAAGATTCTAGCTTCGAATTCACACTTTCAAAACTACCTCCTTACGTCGACCCTATTATTTAACCTTAATTCCTATTGAAAATTTCAAGTTTTTAGCTCTAGACCTCTTGTACGAATATCCAATAACCCTTTGGCACATCTCCACGGCACACCGTTCTAGTACGAATTTCCATGAACCCAGCCGTATTTGACACTAACGGACCAAGAGTAACCCTCATCCAAAATTTCAGTCGTTTGGTCTAGGTCATTATGTCAGACATTCAGGCTGTCGATCAACAGTAATTAGCATTGTGATCTTCTATCCTTCCATGAGATCCGAGTAGACATAATGGTCTTCTCTGACACTTATAGGTTCACTATAAGAGAAGACCTCATTGTCTTTTATGAGCGAATAAATTATGATCTTCTTTATTTAAATACTTCATGGTCTTCCCTGCTTATTTCTTAAATGGTCATATTTGAGCGACTGACCCGAAGGTGTGTGTGAACATTGTCCGTTGTCTTTCATATGATGTTTCTTTTTGCTCCATTTACAAAAGCATTGTTTTTTATATTCGGCGATCTTCAATGAGTAAAATTGTCATTATTTAAATTTTGACGCCAAATTTTCGGATAAATTAAT